AAGTTCACATATCTTGAGTATCAGTCGGGCCGCCCGGCTGACGCCGCGCTTCCCTCTTTCTTATGGGTTCGCCCGGCTACGCCGGGCGCTCCTCCTTCCTGTGAGAAATCTGCTATGCGTAAGTAACATTTCGGATTTTACTTTTTCTTTGACAGCTCTACACCCTCAGTATTGGCTCCGAATTTTCTGTAAGCCATCATTGCTGTGTCCGTATAGAACATCGCATAATATCACAAAGGCAATTACTCCGAGAAATAAGTATTGACAGACTTCATCGCGGCTGAGTCTTCTATGTTAGCTACCATCAATGTTCCCAGCCAACTCCTTGTGCCTTCAAGTTTCAACGGTCTGGGTTCGAACTAACAGTATCTACTCACGTCCAACCCTTTGGGGCGGAGTTCAGCCTTGCAATCTATAATCAGCGTTCCTATCCTTCCTCCTGTAATCCTACCATGTTTGGTCGCTCTAGGTCCATTTTGACATTTCTGTGCAAGCCCGCCCCCTGAAGTAGTTATGATTTTCCGCTCAAACCCCACCCATTGGGGGGAGACTCCGGTCCTGCCACTTACCGTAAGTGTTCCCATACTGCCGCCTGTACTCCTACCAAATTTTAACGCTTTAGGTCCACGGGGTCAGGAGTTATGAGTTTTCGCCCATACCGTGCTCACTGTGGGCGGAGTTCTATTTTGCCATCCACGAGTGTTCCCATCCTGCCGCCTGTACTCCTACCAAATTTGAACGCTCTAGGTCCAAGTTTAAGTTTTTCACACGAACCCCGCCCCTTGTGGGCGGAGTCCGGTACTGCCACCCACCATAGATGCTCCCATCCTGCCGCCTGTGCTTGTGCCAAAATTGAACTCTCTAGGCGGGAACCGGAGTTATGGATTTCTGGTCAAACACGCACACACACATACACACATACACAGACAGACAGACAGACAGACCAACAGACACACTTAGCGCGTTATATATAGTAGGATCATATTTTTCGTTGCATGCTCTGGAGAGCGTTCTTTCACCCCGCGCCACTTTGTAGGCAGCAATTTGTTGTGAAGTCATAGGAAACACTAGAGAGATTTGAGTACAAAGGCTGTTTAAAAAAGGTGCCACAACGGTGACGATTGTGGTATAAGGTAATTTGTGAAAAAAATTATGCATCATGAAGGAGCAGTTTCAAGTCATCGCCTTACTTGGGGAGATGGCAATCTTTTGAGAGAAGCTAACGTAAAATTGATAAAAAGAATTTATGCGGGGCATTGACTCGTCTATATTTACACAAAAAGACGCGTTGTATTAGTAAAGTCGGAAGATTTAATAGCGTGACTGCTGTAACAACTAACACCCCCCGTGCACTTCTTATTTTAAGTCTCCGCATACTATTGCTTTTCTGAGAGCTGGTCCTTGTATGGCGACTGTGGCGAAGTCCGTTCCTCCAAAGGGTGCTACTGGAAACTACCCACTCTGTGGGCAGAGCTGACCACGGACATTCGAATGCAGGCGACAGGCCCCATGACAGGACGACCTACGAACACCCCAGTCACATCAAAAATGTTAATGTCACTCAAAGTATTTCGATGTAATGCTACGGCGTCCGCGGGAGTCGACGCGCACTCGCAAGGCCCGGTGAGTGTGAAAAATATGCGAGGGTCTCCGGTGTAAGGACGGCATCGGGGGGCAACTAAGCTAGTCCGAAAGCCACGCAACGTATATAAGACCCGCGTTGCGACGTTAAATGTTGGCACATTAACGGGACGCTAGTACGAGTTAGCAGAAGCTCTAGAGCGTCGACGAATTGATTTCTGTGCCGTGCAGGAAACGAGGTGGTCCTGCTGCAAGTCTAGAGACATTGGATTCGGCTTCAAAGCCGTTCTTTGCGGTGGCCCCAAGTCCACCAACGGTGTCGGGATAATAGTCTCTGAACGGTTTCGTGACTCGATAGTAAGCGTGGAACGCTTCGATGACGGCCTAATGAAGATCGTGGTAATCATCGAATGCCAAAAATACCATCTCTTCTGAGCGTATGCTCCACAGACTGGATGCTCCGAGCAAACCAAGGGCACGTTCTGGATCCTGCTCGATGAAAAGACAGCTGAAGTACCGTTGCAAGAAGCCGTAGTTATCGCAGGTGACCTCAACGGTCACGTGGGCGCTACGAAAGACGATTATAGCTGCCATGGGGGTTTCGAATTTGGGCCACGTAACACTGATGGCGAGCGAATTCTTGAATATGCAGACTCGCCGTTGTAAACACGAAATTCCGTAAGCGTGACTCTCATCTCATTGCCTTCTATAGCGGTGAGAACAGAACGCAAGTTGATTTTGTCCTTGTCAGGCACCGCGATCAGGGGTAACAGACGCAAAGACAGTTCCCTATGAAACGGTCAAACACAACATCGACCGCTGATTTGTACGCTGAAGGTCACCCCGCCGAAACCGAAATTTGCCGAGAGGTGTGGGCCAGCGAGAATCAAGTGGTGGCGACTGAAGGAAAAAGAAAAAGAATCGGTCATCGTCTCCCGCATTCTATTACCGGCGGTAACGACTGTCGACGAAACTTGGAAGAATGCTGTCGAAGCGATAACCCGGGTTGCACGGTCGGAGCTCGGCATGACCAAGCCTGGACGACGAAAGATTGGCAAGCAAACATGGCTAAGGACGGATCATGTCAGGGATAAAGACCGTGAGAAGAAAAAGCAGTACCACGCATTTCTTATCGAAAAGACGGCTGACAACTGGCAACGCTATCAGATAGCGAAGAAAGAGGCGAAGAAGGCCGTTGCTTCTGAGAAGGCAGCTCATTATGCCGATCTTAATAAGAAATTCGAGTCTCGAGATGGTGAGCGGTATATTTACCGACTCGCAAAGACCCGCCACCGTTCTCCCGTTTAGAAGATAACCGTGAGTGAGACCATTACGGCTTTGAAGAAGATGAAATCAGGAAAAGCAACTGGTCCTGACGACTTAACAGCGGACTTGCGGAAATCGAAAGGCTTGAATCCTGCAGGATGGTTGACGGAATTCCTCAACCAGGTCGTTGCAGAGAAGAAGGTGCCTGAGAGCTGGCAACAGAGCACGACAATTCCTATCTGGAAGAAGAAGGGCAGTTTTGGGGACTGCACATGCTACCGTCCAATCCGCTTGCTCTCGCACAGCATGAAAATCTTTGAGCGAACTGTAGACAGCCGTATCCGGGTTATCGTCGAGCTGACCACTAACCAGTGTGGTTTCGTAGCTGGTTGTAGCACCATCGACGCCATACACGCCGCTCGCCTCCTTCTAGAAAAGCATCGCGAGAAACGTAGACCGGTACATCTTGCCTTTCTAGACTTAGAGAAGGCTTTCGACCGCGTTCCACGTGACGTTATATGGTATGCCTTAAGGCAGCATGGCGTATCCGAAGAGCTCATAGAGTGGGTGCGCATCCTTTACACTAGCCCAAAGAGCCGAGTGCAAACGGCAGCGGGCACATCGACGGAATTTTCCCTCTCCGTCGGAGTACACCAAGGCTCTGCGTTATCCCCACTACTTTTTGTTGTCGTCATGGATGCCATTACAAAAGACCTTCAGAAGCCGGCCCCATGGACGCTTCTTTATGCCGATGACGTGATGCTCGCCAGCGAAGACAAAAGCGAGCTCGAGTCACAGGTGCAGACCTGGTCCGACCGCCTGGCTATGTTCGAGCTCAGGTTAAACGTCAAAAAGACTGAGTACTTGACCACTGAAATGAGCGAGCCAGGCTCTATCAAGAATGGCACTGGGCTCAGACGGACAACAACCTTCAAGTACTTTGAATTGCGTCTGACGGCAGCCTGGATTTTGAAACGAATTCTCGCGAGAATGCAGCGCGGTTGAAGTGGCGCTCAATGACTGGCGTACTCTGCGATAAGGACATCCCTGAGCGTTTCAAATCCAAGATCTACAGAGCCGTCATCCGGCCGGTCGCAATTTACGGCGCTGAATGCTGGCCTGCAACCAAAGAGGTTGAAGTCCGNTGGAGACCAAAATGCTGCGCTGGACAGCCGGAGTAACACGCTTAGACCGTATAAGTAATGACGCCATCAGGGAGCGATCCGGTGTTGCACCCATTGTCAATAAAATGCGCGAAACTCGTCTACGTTGGTATGGCCATACTCTTCGCGCAAAGAACGACAGTGTCCGCAAAATCTGTCTCAACCTTGACGTGCCCGGAAAGCGGGCTAGAGGACGTCCAATGCAGCGGTGGCTCGATACGATGCACGAGGATCTTAAAGTGGTTAACATCCACCCCGATCAAGCGTTCAATCGGGAGAAGTGGCGTCAACATATCAGAAAAGCGGACCCCGCCTACAAGCGGGACAAACGCTAAAGAATAAGAAGGAGAAAAAGAAGAAGAAGGCCCTCGTATGGCGACCTTTTCTCCACTTATAAAAAAAATTGTGCAAGTAAGGAAAGGGCTCATTAAAAGTTCGAGAACATTGATAACGAAATACAAAGAGGAAAGTACTGAATTTTAAAGCCAATTTGCTGTTGGGCAGTAATGAGAAACGAATGGATGTAAAAATGTTGAGCAGTGCATGTGGACTGCCTTATGCCTCATGAGGGAGCGTGAGGGTTCTAGCGAGTGCGGATGAGGCGTTTGGACTTTGTTGGACGGACGCGATCGATTTCGCCTGGACGGTGACTAGGGCCAAGGGAAATCAACATTCTAAATTCATGACGCCATTTGAGGCACTTTCAGTCTTGCATCTCAGCAACCAAAAACGCTTGAGTTTAATACTCTGTCCTTGAAGCTGGACTGACGAATAAATATTGTAACAGTTCGAAGAATTTTTTTCGTATTCAATTTGTGATGTACAGTTAGGCTTATTTTATGCATAAAAAATGAAAAAAAGAAAATTGGCTACATTTGTATATACTTGCTAGGGAATTTAGCTGAACTTAACGATTAGTTGATGACCTAACTGCTTCGAAATCGTTAGAAGTGCATCAGAAGAAGGGATGCTTCGTCATCGTTCCCGTCCTACGTATTAGAGTCAATGACATTAGCGCCTATGTGATCATAATCAACAAACGGAAAGGCACAAGTGAAGAAGAATTTTGAGCGGCACACTAACATTTTATTGAATGTGCAGAACATTAACGAATCTCGACATTGTCTTAGAGTTCGTTCTGTGAATTTTGGTAAAGATAGTATTTTCACCCGCATATTCAACGTGACGATTAACAGCTGTTAGCAAAAAGACTGTGGTTGATCTATACCCGATGTAGACAAAAACACTGTGGCGGTCAGCTGTCGAGAAAACACTAGTGTTCTGCTTCAAGAAATAGAATTCTGTTTCCCAAAAAAATCCTGTGAGTCCAGCGTGCTTATGCTCGAAGCCATCTGGCGCGTTCTCAATTTTTGGATAAGGAACGGCCTTCAGAATGCAGTGGGAAGTAGCGTGGCTGTTTCTAAACCAGATACATCTACGGGATAGTCTAGTGAGTAAAGCAGGGACCGAGCCAAAAATCAACTCAATCAGATATTTAGTAAAGGGTTTCGTGATCTTCCTTTCACTTCTAAGCCTGAAGATGCAGTTACATATATGCAGTGGGCTGACTACCATGGAAAAATTGACAGTTGCTAACCAGTACTACTCCAAAAAGATTTATATATGTTGTACTGATCCACTTTAAGCCGATCCACAATATTCGCCACAAAGTAAATTTCTTCATGAATTTCATATAGTAAAAATGATTGATTTTCGGCTCGTGAGCAGAAAGAGTATTCGAATTTACTGTAGTAACGACATACTTTCAGAACTTCTGAGACAATATTTGTTGTAGGTATATGGAAATGGCTTTACTACCGCCTTTACCCTTGGTTACACCAGAAACATCGCAACAATCTACAACCTTCAGTTTACAGCTCATGCTTAGCAAAAATGGAAAGAATCGGTTTCAACAAACTTGCGTAACCAAAGAATGAATGTTTAACGGAGTGAGAACGTGAAAAGGCACTCAATCCTTGGCGTCAAGTATCCATCACTTCATCGCAGACCAAGGACCCCAACTCTGCTTTGAAAATTCTTATTAAATCTACCACTCGACGAAATACTACATTACACCTATCGCATGCCAGCCTATTCCCTTACTGCCGGTTACGAATGATTATGCTTTTTGAGTGTTTTTGCTGGACTGTGCTTTTGTACTACAGCTAAAGTTTTTTAGCGCCTAAACCAGTGGTTAAGAACAGGAACACGTATCCGGAAATACTTCCATAGTTTCATATCGTGTTAAATTGAAGTATGCACCAGGTCGGTTTATCTCCCTCTGCATAACTTTCTCGATTCTCTACATGGCTTCCCCAATTAACGCTCCCTAGTTATTCTACTCTCGGCAATCGTTTGCTGCGGGCCTTGCTCATTCATCTGGTTTGTACTACCAACCTCTGTCAATTCTCAAGACGCGATGAGAGACTTCACAGTCAGCCATTCTATCATCACATCAAGCGAAACTTGTGATTACGTTGTATTACCCACAAAAACCGTCTCACTTTTTCTTTTACGAATTTTGAAGTTGTGGCTACCGAATGGGTCTCTGTCAGCTTAGTATGAACAGGATTAGTCGTGAGCAGACGTGAAAAACTTCATTTCATACGCAGTAGGTATCAAAGAATGGTAAGTTGGCGGTCATATAGTGATAAGAATTCTCGATTGCCATTAATTTGAACCCATAAAACGACAAGATACCGTGGATTTTAAGCTACATAAAACAGCTTAGAAATAAAATATATTGATCATATAAAAATCACTTACGCATTCATCGTCAACAAAAATTGCATATCTTAAAAGCTCAAGTAAACCAGGTATAGGCAGTTTGACAGTTGAATGCACTGAGCAATCTCTATCAACGGCAGAACATGTACAAGAAAACATAAGATAATTGGGCTTATATGACTGAAATTCAAATAGGAGAACTGTCTGAGAGACGAGAATTTTCATCTGGCGTTCTTAGTAGTGGATCGACGAGCCCTTGTCCCTTTCTCGCACTTCCGCTGTGGGTTTCTGATTCGTGAGCCCTTTTTCTGAAAAGACAAATGGGATCAGCAGGAAAGATGAGTTGCGCAGAAGCGAAGTTACTACGTGAGATCAGATATTGTCAAGATTAAGTTGAATACTTGGACAGAAGCCTCTAATATCACCCGATGGGCCACGTTGAGGCCGTCGTAACGGCTACAATGTAATGACAGATTCCTCCGAAACATTCATCATTGAGGCCGATGAGAATTCAAGGTATCCAATCTCAACTTATTGATGTTAAACTCACATGAGTCGTGTTAAGCGCTCTAAATATACTTCAGCTGGTATTCGACGTTTTCTTATTAACCGAGAATGCATCTAGATGTCTTATCTGAGTGAAAGGAAGTCAGTTGTAGAGGTTCCATGAATGTTCCTAAAATGAGGATCATTCTAGGAAGATTCATGAAATCCTCACACTCCGCTCTTATGGCATGTGAGCTCTATGTGATGTCAAGATTTAGAGAATGGTACAGGGAGACATTGCAGTAATAGCAGTTCGAGTTCTCTTCACCATAGTAACTGTTGTAGCTGGCTGTGATGCAGTTGTATCGGTTGAGATAGACCCTTCGGTGGCAAAACTGATTGAATAACCATATATAAAGGAGTAGAAGGACCCCCCCCCCAAACCCAATGAATAGCAATCGTCAGTTGGAGTGATGGCTTACCTTTTGGGACCCACATCAAAAGTTCTGAGAGATGCTCTCGTTCCTTACCCCACATCTTAGTGATTGCGGTGATTACACCAAGTGCACACATTGTTCGACAACTAGCCAGACCCATTTTGATCGCTCCAGACAAAATAACCCTAGTAAGACAGTGGGAAAGGCTGAATTGTAGCGAGCTTACTGACTGACCAATACAACTGCCCGTCTCCCGTTATAGCGCATGCCGTTTGCGGAGACGACATATGGCTAACATGTTTTCCAAACAAACATTTTCATTACAGAATTGCTAATCAATAAATCTTTGACAAAAATCTCGAACTCGAATGTCTGGCACTCTAAAAATGTGCTTGTCTCAGACGAAGTGATTCATGGTTGTCCTACCTGGGCAACCTCTCCTATATTTGCAATTACAGCTCAGTCACGGACAGAAACTTCCCCAATAATTAAAGGTTTCAAAATTCATCCTCAGGACAGCTCCGAGGGAGGTTGCAGGGTATTGAACTTAATTAGCAGCAGATTCCAATTCCCAGTTCTCTTTAGTAGTACAGAATGAACCTCTAAAAATGAACCGTACTTCCTCAGAATCAGGACGACCACCCATGCAACAATCACTGAAACGAGAAATCCGAGAACGGCTGCCGACCACCAAGGTAGAGGAGCCTTCCATTCTTCCTGCATCTGAAACGAGTCTAATACTTTTTTCTTAAAGACCAACTAAAGAAGAGATTGACCTCAATAGTCAAGTGATAACTCACCTCTTTGTTTTTTACTGCTTGTGTTGTCACCTCGTACACTGAAATGAGTGATGAAGTTGCATTCGTCTCTTCCGATGCCCTCTTCGAAGATTTTTCTAATGACTTTTGTGATATTGGTTGCTCATTAATCCTTATAGCAGAGGAGATGATGCTTCCAGTGTCTTTCCTCTGTTCAGCGAATGATTTGACTTTTGCGCTCGGATATGATTTGGTTGAGCGAGCGGCCGTGGTCAAGAACTCATTTGGCATCCTTCCGTTTCTGGGAGAACCTGGTGCATACTCGCTGTGGGGGAGGACTGGGAGAGGTTGAAGCTCTTCCGACGGAGCAAGAAAATTTTCATTCGACGTAGAGATCGTCGTAGTGAAAGCAGAAGGAATAACACCTTCCGTAATTGTATTTGTGTTAGTGATAAACATAATCTCTCTGGTGGGGATGTAGTAGGTGGTTGTTCCTGGTACCGTAGATGATGTAGATGCTGTCTGAACGCGTGAAGTGACTGGATGAAGAACAGATATCGTAGTTTCAGTAGAATCCTGCTGTTTTCCTGAGCTTGTAGGCTTCTGTAACTCAACAATGTTAGCTTCTGAGAATAAGTTACAGAAGGGATTCTGCGTTCCGACGTGGTTGAAGTAGTCTTGAGAGTATTATCTTTGGCGACTATGATAGAGCCCTTTATTTACTCACTTCTGTTAATTTCCTTGTTGTTGCAGCATGAGCCCCTTCCGTTAAAGTGATCAGAGACTTTTTCGTTAAAGTAGATGTCTGTTCTCTGAAAAAAAAACATAATTGTGACTCGTAACAGAAGTTGGAATTTGCGTATGAGAGCAAAAAGGTTTCCGCTCAATGTTTGTTTTGATGAATTATTCTGACTGATAAAACGAGTCCAGTATGTCGAAATCCGGGTAGAAGGAGGCTCAATAAGGTTCAAACAGTTATCGACTACCGGTTTGCTTTGAGACCTCGTGAAGGGGACCTTTGTGACATCAGCCTCCGACGAAACTTTGCGCTTCAGTCAACTTCAACAGACCAACGAAAGATCGTTATAGTAGAGGTGACCATAATCCCTAGAGGACTTACTGAAGTGCGAGAGTTGAGTTCCGTTATCGACAGCAGTATTACTCGATTCTCTCGTTTTCATAGTTTTTAGAGCTTAAGTCAATATTTTGACTATCAGGAACTAGCACAAACAATACGTACTTAAGTGCACTTATGATCAAGGCTTACAAGAGTTACGGACGTTCTATTAAGAGCACGGAAGGGTGATTTCTGATCTGGTTCCTGTGTAGTACGTCACCTAGAGCTATCATCATAACGATTTGCTTGAGTTTGATATCATCCTTCTGGATAGGAACAAGTATTGTCTCATGATTTTACTCAAAAACGTACAGACAATGCTCATAATAGTTAACGTACGGAGTCCATTAACAACTTGTCCTTCATCGCCTGAAAGTTTCAATTTTTCTTCCCCGTATTGGGGGTATTAATACAAAGATTATGTAAATTTTTGTACTCAAATTAAGAATCCCCTCCATCACTTATTTTGTTCTACCTTTTTGTCAGAGAATCGGCTATTTGTGATCCTAAATACTAGCTCAAAACCAACTCCTGCTTTTTTTTCATCTTCTCGCAGATGTTTTTGGTACAGCTGTCACTGACAATAAATTTGTCCTAGCAACTGCAGTTCTCTTCATTATCGTTGTAAGCAGAAACATCCCCTCTCCCCTCTCTAGCTCCTCTTTTTCCATCAATCACCACCTTGTAGGAAGGGGAACGGCGAGTTTGCTCGCTCTTACCCTTACATTACAGGGTCAATCAACATTTCGGCACTACTCTCGTCCTTACATAGAAAAATTCTAGGAAGTTTCGGATAAACGCAAGTTGAGAAGAAAATTCAGAAACCTAACAATGGGAAATTTCAATTCGAAGTAGTCGTTTGGGTTGAGACGTGCTTACAGTTGCTGATCCCTATTCCGCTTCAAACAGTTCAATGATTTTCTGATCGCGGTTATAAAGGTGATTTTGAGCTAGCGTCTAGTAGTTGACCATAAATACCTTGATCTTCCTGTGCTCTCAGCGTCGACCTGAAAGTTGATATAGGTACGCCTCACCTGCATGACACTTTTCGTGGGGGATGGGGCCCTCGCATGAATTCTCACAAAAATGACGAGATATGGGCAAACTATGTCTCCGAACAGGACTCTACCACGTCTGCTTTCCAAACGCCGTGTTCTTTACCCCCCTGCGTCTTTGAGAGCCATCAGAAGAGGTTTTTCCCTCCTGATGGCTCTCAAAGACGCAGCTCTGTAGTTTAAAGGAGCCCTTTTTAAGTTGAGAAACGGAAGTATTGATGGAAAATTTTGCTTCGGTTGCGAAGAGAGCTAGAAAATTCGCTGACCTGCAAAAAGTTAGCTATTTTAAAGTTATGGAAATAGAGTTCGTGTGAGAAATGGCATGGGAAAGGGTACTCTGACGAGATTTCAGTTGTTACAACTGCGTAAAGAGCAGACTACATTAGGCCAGCAATGACCAAAACTGCCGTGGTTTATCGCCAAGGGTCACGACTAGCCCTTTAGATTTTCAACGTGGGTGATCCTCGTAAATGGTACAGCCCCTACAAAGCCGCCAAAACTCGCTATCTTTGAGTGTGGTACACAGCCGACTCAATCCCTGGGTCCTTATAATACCCTACTTGTGTCGTTTCCCGTTATGACAGCGCCGCATACGGTATACGTTAGATCTACAGATTCATTTTAATGAGAATCTCAGAAGCTATTTTTATTGTAAAGTAAGCCTTTAAACGATAGCTTATAGCCGCTCACATAAGTTATCTCAGAACAGCATCGATGAATAATAAAAGCAACAGTCAAAATATCAACGTTCACTGTTATATACCGACATGGTCGTAGGTGACGCTGGCATCACGTTGTACGTGTGAGCACTGATAAGCTGAGACTCAAAAGGAGAAAGCGACCAGAGTTTCAGCACGGTAAAAATTGAGAGTGCGTGTAAAGCAAAAGTATGGGTTCAAATTCCGCCTGAAGCCGAAGGTTCCCTTGACTCACCAATCTTCCAGGACCTTCTGTGCATTTCAATGCCTTCCCGATGCTGCTGGTGTGAATTGTTCCTACCTTAGTCAATGGAAAAATTCTTTGCTCGCCCATACACTCTCCTTTGTCGGTGTATTCTGAGGGAAGTGCGCGCTCAACAATCATCGCCTTCTAGAGGTAGGGAGTCTGTAGATAGGGAGTAAAAACTGTAGATAGGGAGTAGAAGGAGTCGCGCAGTTGGTTTCTATAACCAACCAGTCTTTCACGATTATGCCACTGCTTTCTGTAGATGCCCCAAAATTAAAACTCTCCGTGGCTTCCAGGTTTGCTCTAGAAATGTTCCGCATGGCTCTACATTTCTCAAATCAGTTTCGATAGAAGTCCGCTGAAAAGTCACGAAGACGGGATTGACTTGATGTCAAGCATAACAAAGTCAAAACAAGTTCTAACAAAACAGTTCTGTTCTGTTCCCCTCCGATGCCGAAGAATTGCCCAAAACTTGCCAGCCTTGTAAGAGAAGAGGGTATTTTGTCAAGCTGAGAATTGGGAGCTCCGAGTGTACAAAGCGCATAGCAAGCAGTTGCTGATTTGCACATTATTGGGTGCGATCTTGCGAAGTGACTCACGCACACAATGTTGTCCTGTGGTGGAATCGGTGATAACTTCCAAGGGCCATAACGCTATCTAGTTCGTCTTACTTCCACAGAGGTAGTTAGCGTGAAGGATATGCTCTTTTGAAACTTTGGGATGGTGCAGCCGCTAGACGTGTACTTTTTCTTGACATTTGAAAAAATACAAAACGCATTCCCCCATATGTATTAGGTTGGTGCATAATTATTGCGGATTTTTTTGCGGCTTCTTTTCTCTCGGTAAAATTAAACTTTTGGATTCGGGATTTTTGTAGAAATAGTCTTCTCGCTTTCCTTAACAGAAATATGTCTAGAGATCATCTTCATATACGTCCATATTCTGCTATATTACTCCGAGAAATGTTGAATGGCGGTACACTCCTAACGTGAGCTCAACGAACTTTTCGGCGATGGAACAGTCAGAAGTCGAATCAAGAATGGAATTTGCTTCTACGGTCGCCCTATTCTCCAATAGGAACTCATATGGATTATGAAGTTAATCGCCCGTTGAAAAATCGGTTAACGAACAGAACTTTCGACGAAGTGGTTTGATGGCCAATGTCAAGACGTGATCGCCTCCATAGATCGAAAATTCTTTGTGTGTGGAATACTACCGCCTAGTAAATGGGAAGCAGTGCTACGTAGATGGTGCATATGTTCCGAGTGATTATTTGAGGTTGTCTTTGCTTAATATTTCTATCACTTCTTCAAGTAAGATTTGCTGAAAAAATCCGCAATAATTATGCATCAACCTAATAGTATTCATGACCACAACTCCTGCATGTACACTCGCGACTCAGTACTCCGTTTTATACCTCTTGTATAATTACGACTCTGTGCGGGGAGGTTCAGGAGCTTTTTCTTCTATTCATAGTCTATATGAAGCTGTAGGGGACGGCAACACGATTTTTTCAACATGATTCATCCGTTTTGGTGAGCCATTGTGGAGCGACGGGATGTTTAGAAATTCGTTTTTTCTACTCGTTGTTTTTCCACTGAGGAAAACTTCCTTGGTCCGAACATCTCATGCTAGGATACCGTATATGCTATTATATCATAGAAGCCATTCCTTTATAACTGTGATGACGAGCAAAAAAAATAGTGCTTTTCGGGCCTGGCAAGAACCGAAGCACGTCAAGCATCCAAAGTCGTGAAAGCTGTTAGAATCAACATTGAAGGGTTTCCTATATCTGAAGGACATTCGTGAAGAACACCAAACCTAACATTACACGAAAAATCCGATCCAGGCTCCACGCCTATGATTCGCCACTCCCACCAATGCTTCAAAATGCTGCTGGAAGAGTAATTCAATTATAGTGTTTCATGTGCGTTTGTTACCCGCCTATGCAAGTCTTTTCAGGGTTCTGCGTTATGAATTTTGGAAGTAGATTTGAGATCAGCCTCCAAACTTCTTTTCTACGATATCCCTTTTAGTGATCCAGGTGCACTACCGACAATAGATTGGACATGAAGAAGATTCAAGAGAACCCGATCCTCAGGATTCTTGTGGACCCAATGCCCATAGGTAACAGTGGCAGCGAATGCTCGAGGGGTTTCAATCTGGGCGGAAATCCCTTTCAAAAGTGGATTACGATGAATATGAATTTGAGTAGACTTCACAGCTGTTCACAATTTTTTATCGTGATTCATTTTCAGTCTTGCCGTTCTTTTTACATTCCGAATCACAATTGTTTCACCTCTTCAGCAACTGGTCTTAACTACTTTTACATGCCTTTATACCTTTAATAGCTTACCCGATTAGCTATTGCATAGGCCCACTACCTGAATTTTCTTAGTAAGCTAATACTAGTAAGACCAGTTTGCTGGATACTTAGATTGACTCGTTAGAGCCCGAACAGGGTTTACTCAGCTAACTGTGTCTGAGCTTGTTCATCTTAAGCTCAGCATTAATAAGTTGCAAATATTACTTACTGCCTGATAAGCACTGTTTCGCGCAGCCCTTGTTTGGAAGATTTCAGTCACTCACTCAGCGTTTAATTGAACAATGGCGGAAATGCCGGCGGTGGTAGTTAACCTCGTCGTTGCCACATCTGTGACGGAAGTAACAGCGTCAGTTGAGTTTTTCTGCACATCAACGCAATCGTTCAGACCTTTATAGCCGGCAGCACAGCCAGCCTCGAAACAGCAACACGTGTGCTGAACAAATTTATATGATTTTCTTGTGGAAATGACCAACTAAAGTTTGGCTAATTTTGGTATATTGAAACTTCGAAAACTGTATGATTGCAATAGCCCGAAAAAATTACATTTTTCTTATTACTTCTTTGGCAAAGGTGGTGTAGTGGCAGGTGGCGCACTGAATCAAATGCACGGTCGGAGGATGAGTCCAAGGTCGATATCCGCCCAGGCCAACCAAGCCTTCTATGCCTCCGGGGTCGGTTAGTCGGTACCAGACAAGTTTGGGAGGGTAAACGCACTGACACATACGCACTCATGACGCCGCTACGATTGTGAGTGGAAGTCGAATGCGGGGGCGCATCCGTTAGACGGGATTGATTAACGTCCAAAGACTCTATTTTTTTAGACTTCTGGGGCTCAACGTTGAGAAGAATTAGCAATTCAATAGGCAGCAATCAATAACGCAACAAGCATTGCAACCTCACTGATGTACAAGTCGAAATAAACGGAATGCGCTTCATATAAACGATCTGCAACATGTCCTGCATTTATCTCCTACTGAAGAGACCTTTGGAATGATCATTGAACATTTTTCAATGTTCTACTGCAGACAGCCTTTGACTCACTCAGTTCTGTAGTTAAACCATTCAGGGCTCTCCTAGCACTGAAACCTTTGTAAAAAAAATAGAAAGTAGAGATCAGTGGGCGAATGTCAAATGCTCCATAAGACATGTTGAAACTATTATGCAGTAAATAACCCTCAACCAATCTTCGCAATCAATCTGCAATTTTGGGAACTCCAGTTAAAAAACTAATACACATCTGATTGCCCGATCATTCATTTCAAGAATCGACACACTTCTAGGTGGCAGAAATAAATGAAAACTTCCTAAAAGAAGTCACCAGGGTTTCCCCCATAATTAACTGCGAATATTTTCAAAGGTTTTTTGTTCAATTTGGACAATAACGTAATTAAACATGTGAGCTTCCCGCATCAGCTGAACTAAGAACTGGTCATTGGTAATGACTACTGAGGCACTTCAATGCACAGTTCATAATAAATCTCAGATACCCAATTAAGGCGAAATAATGGAAATCATGGTGCATTGTAGCGCAAGGAGGCGAAGAAAGATTGTATTTTGCTTGAAATTTTCGAAAATGCCTAAAATGGTTGAATTCTAGGATACACTCAATTAAATAAACCGGGAAATTTGAAAATTGGAACTTTGAGTGAGGAGGACTTCAAAAAAAAAGAGGTAAAAAAGAGGTTTGCACTAGATTATGGCGGCAGACGTGGCGTGGAAGGAATGCTCACAATCAGACGAGTGTCAGTTATACACTATTGCGTAGAGCTGGCTATAGAAGCTAAAAAATACAAAAATGATTATACTGTAGACATCGTTCACGTCTAGTTGTTTGAATTTCCAACATGTGAACTAACACACTGTAAGTGATGCAGGCTCTTGAAGGTCTTCGAAACACGGAAATACATATTTGGGTGTGGCATACAGTGACTACAATCTTTGAACTTTTATAGCGTCATTTCTAGGTCGTATCTTGATCTGACCACAAATGACATACTTGAGAGCCCCAGTTTGATTTTAGGGGTATCTCGGAAACAATTTCGAAGGTGAACCGTGCCTTGGGCGAGTGATCGACCCAAGAGTTTACAAGCGCAACAGGTCATGTGCGATTTCTTCTTGTGGTTTTTGAAAGCATACACAGCTCTTCATATAAAGATCAAAACGGTATCCTTTTAAGAGGATAGGATTACACTATTCATATCAACATATCAACAAAAGCAGCCGCGACTGCAGTTTGGCAAGAGTCAAACGTATTTCTAGGAAGAATTGATCATTATCATTCTCTTCAATGCTATTGGGTGCAGTTTTTCATAATGTCATATGCTCTTTAACTTAACGTTGTTTACGTACCACTGCATCCGACATGAAGCATTCGTTGTTACGACGTCGATGGCAGAGTTCCCCTGACGCACAACCAGCTCGATAGCAATGCTGTAACTCGTAAATCGTATTTTAGTATTTTTCACAGTACTAGGCGACATCGAAAATGGAATGAGGACAGTGATCGGTCACATCAACCAGACCCGGTATTCCATAAACAACAAAAAGTACTTGGAGACTGATCATGGAAAGCATATATTGTGGTATGGGAATGTTGGTCATGGAAGTGTGACCTTGACTGTCTCGTGAGGTAATCGTCGATTAGTGGGGAATAACAAAATGAGTTGTAGAACGGAGGCCAGATGCTGATGCACAACAGTGATAGGGTTGGCCGTTTAAGGTGGTGCACAACGGCTGATCAACCGTTTGCATCCAAATCCTTCTGTGCGTTTTGGACATTCTATGGTCTAGCGGCGAGGAAGATTCGAGACTACTAAGTGCATGTATCGAGACCCAACAATAACGTAGGTGGCGCAATCTGTCGGTTCCTATCGAAATCCTACCCGTAGAACAAAAAATGTGTACATGTCTCTGTTTTCTTCTTTTGGCCGATGCAGTGCATCTATTTGCAAACCACGACCTAATTGCACTTTGCTTTGAAATAGCATTGATCAATGACTTTGAATTTTGTGAACGATCACAAACAATCGGGAATTTTCGAAACAAACATGTGTCTGTCACATTAAATTTTTAATTTTAGTTGCAATTCTTGTTTACCATATTGTCACATTATTGAAAATACGCACATGTGGTTCCATGCTTTGAAAAGGATCTCAACTATCGTGAATTGTCAATACTGGATGCTTATCTGTTGGTGAGTCTGTGAATACCAATTAATAAAGATATTTGAAAGTGACTTATAGCTTTAGCTCCTGATTTGAGCTTCAGGCTAGCCCGCAATCACGTTTGCAGTCTCCGAAATAATTTTCTTCTGCGAGAAAACAGTGAATACTAATGGTTTGTAGAGTTTAGGGCTCACCTTCTCATGATCTATACTGTAGAAGCACATTTTTGATGGACAGCCTTCATCGGTATCGACGCATTTGAACATCTGAAAAAATTCAGGCATAGAGAAATGAAGCAAATCAAGCAGAAGAATGTATGCCAGAAGCAACAATTTGTATAAAGCTAAGGCCACACAGTACCGTATCGTCGCCGTACAATGCAACTAGATGCCCAAGGAGGAGTATCAAAGCCAGAGCCATGTTTCCCTGAAATTTGAACTGAACATTAAGTTTCACTTTTGTACTCAAACTAGTTATCGTAAAGTCGAGATCAACTCAGAAATAGGACGAACGGATACCATAGGTATTGATGGATGGCTGTAAAATGAATGGGGGTATGCGGAGCGCTGCTACTGAACGTCACGCACTTGCACCAAATAGTCGGATATTAATTCGAAAATGTTGCACAGTCACTTTCGAAATCACGACAGAATTGATTGCCTTGAACATGAAAAATGTGTCTTCTTGGCGTTTGACCAATGCCGGGGGGGGGGGGGG